CTGCGTCGATCCCCATGATGTGTCACGCTCAAATGCGGTGCAGCGGTGCGATGGCGTCCTCCCTATCTGCGGGCCCTGCTCCAAGGCCCGTCGCCCGGTCGAATGCGACTACTCGACGGCTTCAGCGATCTCTGCAGGGCCCAAGGGCGAGTATCTCAAGAAAGGCGCCGCCTGCGTGCCGTGCAGGTGAGTGAGCCGCCAGCTCACACGTGGTGGCCCGATGACTGAATGGGCGTGCGATGCAGGAGGAAAAAGAAGGTGAGCCTATCTAGCCGCCCCCATTGCCGACGTCGTGCTGAATATAGGACAGAAATGTGACGCGAAGCGGCCCTTCTGCTCGACGTGCAAGGTTGCCGGGAAGGAGAAGGACTGCTCGTATGACGAAAACGTTGAGCGGACGCTGACCGAAGCCCTGTTCATGCGCACACATGAGCTGGAGCACCGTCTAGCAATCTACGAAAGCGAGATATCCGCGAGGTCCATGACGGCGACCGGTCGGGTCCGAGCTCGGGCAGCGGCGCGGCGGCGCGGGGGGCCGCGAGTGCGGGGCGAGAGGCTGGGGAAATAATTCGTAAGTATGGGAGGGTGGTAGGACATGGTAGGAGAGTGGTGGGGTGTGGTTTGGCGGTGGGAGAGTAGCGGGAAGGCGGGGAGACACGGGCACCGCAAACATGTACATTATGTCGATATATTTCACAATGAATACACAGTTTATTCTCTGCTATATGACTCCGCGCGGGCGTGCAACCGCGGGGCGTTGGGCGGTGGTTCGAGGGTAGGAGGTCGAGCGGCGGCAGAGAGCGGGAGGACACCGGGGGGACGGCGTAGACACGGACAAAACACAAATATATTTCGTCAGAATACACAGTCCTCGTCGACATATGGATCGGCGCCGGCTCGCAGACACAGCGTAGAGTGTGTGCTGCGCACAGACGTAAATTCGTCCGCGTCCAAATAGGCGCTCGCACGAACTTGAAAACGGGCACCGCTTGTGTCGTGCAGCCCCGTAGTGGCTGCACCGACAACTGGCCGCATAAGCCGTCCTAAAAGCCGTCAACCCGCGCCCTACGCGCTGAAACAACGTGAGTTTCACCGTTCCCCGAAGGCGGACAGCGGCGCGCGCTGCCCGACTCGGAGCCTCGTGCGCGAACTTAGAAACACGCCGCAAGAGACATGCGGCCCCGGCTGTCACCTGCGTGCGTGTGCTGCAAACAAGTCAAATCAGTGCCGTGTCGGACAGCCCGCAAAAGTAGGACACATACCTTAGCAGATACCGTAGACCTCGGAATGAAAGGGGCCGTGGTGTGTCCATCTCCATGTGCGGAGTGTGTCGATGTCATCCGAGCAGTGGCCTGCCGGCAGAGAACCCCGCACGAGCCAAAGAACACCGTCACGCAAAGAGCGAACCACAAAACAAGGCTGCTGAGGAGCTCGCCCGTGTGCCCGCGCTGCTAAGACTCGAATTCAGTGTTGCGCCCAACGTACAAAATAACGCGAGGACGTACCTTGGGCGTGCCGCAGAGCGACGGCGGCGCCTCCGCATCTGGACATAGAGGTCGTCGATGTGATCCGGGCGGCTGCCGCGACCTGCGTCAAGCAGCCATCAACCGCACCCTCGACCTATCCGCCCTGCAGCAAGGCGCAATATAGCAGACTCGTCTTGGATAGGGTGAGCAGAAACGTGGATATCCCACCGCGGCGCTCATCACAGCTGTCAGAACGCGTACAACGTGATTATTGTGCCATATTTCCGTGCAGAACACATGTACATACGAGCCAAATGAAGTCGTCTACTCACCTAATACATCCCTTACTGTGTAGACGTATACACCGTGGATAGTGTGCCAAGTCGAAGGGGTATCCAGAAGAACGGGCATGTATACGGGAGCTCGACGGCGGGCACGACGGGAGAATTTGCGGGGAGATGGTGGGGACGGGAGACGACGGGGACGGGGACGGGCGCACCGGAGACGGCAGGCTCAGCAAAAGGAAGGCGGATGAGGGGGGATGTCGATTCGAGTGATCCTTTGGCGCGCCGTGAACGTTTGAACCCTATATACCTGGGCAGGTGAGCGCTTCGAATCTACGATCTTGAGATGCCGGGCCCTCCACCTCGGAATCAAGCCGTGGATCATATTCAATATTATAAGTAGTCGCTCGAATAGCCTGAGCGTGCCCAAGATCGACGTGTTTTCAGCATCTCAAAAGGGACACCGTCCAACGCAAGTTCAGTCGGGGAAGACGGCGCCGCAGTGCAATCGACCGTCTTCCTCGCGAACTTGCAGGCCTCGCACAGCCCTGACATCTTCCGCTCCTTGCGTGCGTGGATCCCAGTGCAGCAGAATATTTACTGACCGTTCGCTAAAACCAGTCCACGCTCAATCTCGGCTGTGCGTGCTGGGCCGAGCCTGATGCTGGTAGAGGTTTCCGGTAACCGATCGTAGCTAGTCCGAGTTCTTGGAGTGGTGGCTGAGGTGCCAGAACGTGGAGAAGACTCCGAATAACAGAGTGCGTCGCCCTGCGCGCATTTAGGCGAGTATGAGTTGCGGGAGGCCCAGCGTGCGACAAGAGAGCAAAACGAAGGAACAGCGCTCAGACGCCCAGATCTCGTCCAGTGGACGTTACTGCTGGATTGGGAAGGCAGGCTCGCGAGAGGCGCCCAACGCTGCTTCCTCGAATCCTTCGTCTCGACCGCCTCCTCACTCACTCACGATGGATGCCTCTGGCAACATCGCTCAAGAATTTGCTAAATATGCGGGTATAATTTGAAATGTGCATACAAAACTGGTCATGCAAGTCGCACTGAGTCACGGGAAACCAGCAGGCTAACCAGAGCTCTCCACCGCCGCCAAAGCCGCCAAGTTGATCCTGCCAGGCCCCAGGACTTACGTCGTCCCACCCTGACAACCGTGACGGGCATGCTGCGAGGAAGCGAAGAGGGTGAGTGTGCTTACCTGAGCGTGGCAGGTTGCAATCCCAAAATGAGCTTCCCCACGCTTCGCCGTAGCCTGTAGGCCGCCCGAGTGAGCTGGGGCGACAGATATTGATCCGTATATTCTGCAGATTTAGGCGCATACAGAGATCTGGCTCTTTTACTCGCACGTGCCATCCTCGGACACCAGGGGTGAACAAGCCAGAGGTATGTCAGAACACAAAAGTATCCCTCGCCATTTGTGCCGTGCTCACAGATAATCCTGGATCATAAACAGAGTTTCCCGCAACCACTGTGAATAGTGCGGACGAGACTCCTTGGAAAAAAGTCCGGCCGTCACCGCCTGGCATCTACCGCTCTGGAATGTACGAGCACATCGTGTTCGGTCGGGCCAAGCAACTTCACATTCCCAGAAAGCGCAGCCAGTGCCGTGTCTGCCGCTCGTTTTCGGTACGGCGCACGCAAACAAAGGCATTGCAGGTACACACATTTCCCTTTGCGGGCCACTGCGGGCGCCGGGTGTTCTGGGCTCATTTAGAATTTACATATGTGGCATCCACTAAGACGTGGCAATGTGCATCCTAGTGTTGGGGCCGCACCCTCTGCATTAACTCGCGACACTGCTCGTGTCCGGCCGCGAGGCCTGTCCGACAATTTGTTATCCTCCTATTTCAGGCTGGCACATTTCCACTCATTGTCCTCGCCGGTATCCCCGATGTTTCACAGACCCGGCAGCAGATGGATGTGATCATGTCCATCATCGGCGGTAGCGATGTAGGTGACAAATTGGGCAGGTTGAAGGGCTTCTGAATCCAGATTGCGGTCTTTCCGACTGGACCAGGGCCACTCCTGGGGATATGTTTGGGATATGCACACCGGCAGCATGCTCTCGAGTGCGGGTAAGCAATCATGCACCACGTGCAAGGAATGCACCATGTCTGTACGTGATGTGGGAGCACTGAGCTGCTCGTACCCTTTCAGTGAGAATTGGCATGCACGCCGACGGTTCACTCGCACCCCCGAAGCGACTCGTACGCTGGCCGTGAGCAGTGTTGCTCCGGTGTTTTATGCAGACACTAGCATCAGCATCACTAAGTACCAAATATATAGTTGCAATATCTAGTACAGTGCCGGTCGCTCGTATGTAAGGTTGAGGACAATATGGTGCAGGTGGCGTGCCAGGTGCTGAGAGCCGGTGAGCGACGGGCTGCGAGCGCAGCAATGACGTGCCCAGCGCATTCATGAATGGTGTTCCCTGCATCTTCGGGTCGCACCCCGAGCATGGACAGTGTCTCCGGTGTGGCATGTATGACACTCGAGCGGGCGGGTCCGACCGACGTGCCGGACATGCGAATACAGGTGTAAGGGTACAGCGCCGGCGTCGTCCAGTCCGTGACCACGCATCCACATGCGGCGGAGCGGGACGTACACGCCCACAAGCGTGTCCGAGTGAATCCGTCGCGCAGGGGGCTCGCAGGGACGGACAGGGCGCAGGTGTCTAAGACTTCGCCCGTTTCTGCACATGGCAGTGTTAGAAACCTTCGCGACAATGGCCCTTTGCCCGGATTGCGCTGAAACTCACATGGGATGTGCGTTCTAGCTCAGGGAGTATTGCCCTGTATTTTCGAAGCGGCCCGAAGCGACGTCGACGCGGGAGTTCGATGACTCTGAGGAGGTCGCCAAATCTGGGGAGGCAACATCGAGCCTCGCGCGATCGTCGAAATACAAGATGTTCGGGTGCGCGAGGACTCGGACGTGGAACGAGATGTTCGCACCGGTCCACGGGTATGTGCGTGCCAAAGAAGGCAGTGGCAATTGAACGCGAGGGCAAGCCGTGAAGAACGACTTCGTGTGATTGCCAGTGAGAACATGACCAAAGAAAAATCAGAGTACATATCGCCCGTATCGAACTGAAACTCACCGCGCATGGGGGTGGTGCTGCAAGGAGCATTCGTCCGTGATTTGAGGGCGGCCCGCGGCGTCATAAACGCGCAAACTCCAGCTCATGTCGGAGGGTGCCGCATCCGACCTCGCGGCGACGCGACGACCGAGCAGCTTGCGCAGCTGCGAAGCGCGGGCAATGGAGGCCCCCACCGCGCGCCGACGACGTGTTTAAACGGTTCGTGCTCGCATTTGTGGCGGACGATCCGTGCGCTGTGACGCTGGGTCAGCACATCTTCGGGATGCAGCAGTGAGCTCGAGCACCAAGCCACTTTCCTGCACATACGTGAGACGCCACCGTTCTGTGCGCGCAGGAACGTCTCTGGAAATATGTATGGCGCTCGGGGGGATGTGTATACAAAAGCGCACAGCAGGCGGAAGAAAGGGAGGGCGGGAATGTTGGTATTTGTGGTTTTGGCCTCGAAGTGGCCACGGAGGATGACAAAACGCGTTTCTTCGCGGACTGCGCTGAGACTCATCAGAGACATGCATACCAGAGATTGTAGTATGAATTTGAGCTTACGAAGCCACACGGTGCGCCGCCAGCGCGCGAGGTCGAGATCATTGGAAACTCGGCCCCGAGAATCGAGCATCTGCATGATCCTCGATGCTCGTACTGTCCGCACGCGTCCGAGCGTGGCGCGAAACTGTGATACATAACCGTAGAAGTATCTGTGCAGAATCCCAGCGCGAGAGATGGCGAGGGA